TAGCATCTGTCAATTGGTTCAGGTACCACCAACATGCCTAATTAGTAGACGATGTGTAAACCGTACAACCTCACGACTCCACCATACCACCACTTCGCATGAGCTGAAAGGTACGTACCCTACACATGTACCTCACGCCTCACACCACTCCCTCCCATGTCCGCGTACGCCCCCCAGCCCCCAGCCTACGCTGATCGGTCTGTCGCTCGCTCACTGGCATTCCCATGATCGGTGTTCCACCTGTGCATCCGCAGCGGGAGAGTACCGCAACCATACCTACATTACCGCATTCCCCACGATCCCAGTGATTCACCTACATGACGACATATTGTTGAGGAAACATTTACTGCGAGTAAGATTTGTAAAACTGTAGATTGCAGGGGTTGTATGGACGCAAGGGCTACAGCGACGGTGTATTGGTGGCTATGGATAAATATGGCGATACTACTAACAAGAATGGAGTATCTTCGGGAGCATACTTGTAACCGCTGTGCAGTGTACAGGCTGATGCTGCAAGATGATGGGATGTTGAGAGATTGTGAATCTGGTACAGATGACGTCGTTGGGTATTTTTGGTTGTACGTAGGTGTCTAGACTTTGACTGTTGTACGCGCTTTGGGTTACACAATACTCGCGACCGTAATGTCGGGTTCGTGATTAGCATGTCATAGGCGGATGCTGTCCGCGGGGTCATGGGGGGTTTAGCGAGGTGTGGTGGGCTGATTCCGTGGGTTGGGCCAGAACATAGCGATGATACTTGTTGCATGCAGCGTATGCTCGATGTTGGAAGTCAAGCAGAGCGGCGTCATTGCGCATGCTGTGTAGAAGTGTATGTGTTCGCGATGTCCAAATCCGTACCTGTGCTGTTAACAGCGGACAGCTTCCTCGCGTTCAACAGCATCCCCCATGCGTGGGACTATGCGCCCAAACTTGACAGTGTCCCCCCGATGCAGCTTCGATAATCTCTATGCGGGTATCGTACGTCTGTCGCATATCATGGGTATTGATAAGGCTGCAAGGCGACGCTGTGCGCTGGGCGGCTGTTTGGGCATCAACGGTATGACCGATGTACGAAGTGCGTGCGTTTTGACGTGTTTCGATCCATGTACCTAGCAGGACGCGTGGTCAGTTTAGACAAAAGAAACCATGCAATGCCTCGACTCAAGAGCACGTCCTTCTCCACTACTGTTGTATCTTGCCTGTAGATTAGTAGGGCGACATTGCAACAATGCGCCATGCTGGGTCCGAGGTCTCACTCAGCCCGACGATATACATCACAATTGGTTGTCAGACGTGACAGGGTTTGTGAATTTGATGGTATTCATGTCTCAACCGGTTCCATTCCTCGTGATATCGTTGATCCGCGGGAGAAAGGAAATGAAGGCCTAAGTCGCCGTGAAATGCATGCCTGCGCCCTCGAGGGGCTGTTCAGATCCCGAATTCCTGCTTCCAGTCAGCTCCGTCCAGCCACCCGACATGGTATCGTATGCATACCTCAACTCCATATCCCCAACCATTTACCGGCTTGCGCTCCAGACGGACTTGAGGAAGCCGTCCTTCTGTGCGAGCCTGTTGAAGCTGTCGTCGGCCTCGCCCATGGCGCGGACGAAACCGCAGATGGCGTAGGCCTGGTTGTCGCCGGTGTAGCGGCCGTTCTCGTCAACCTTGCCAACGCTGAGCTGGACAGAGGCGTGGTCCTTGGCCCTGATGATGCGTCCGGTGGCCGACTTGTGGGTATTAGTATCGCGGTTCGGGTCACGTAGGTGGTTGGCGGGTACTCACGCACTGTGGTGTGTTAGCAGACATTCATTGGTAATGTGACATGGCTTGGCTTACTTTGCGGGGGACGTAAAGGTCGACGAGCTCTCCGCGTTCGTTCTCCATTTTGATTGATGTGTGGGTGGGAGTCGGGTTGGGTTGTGTGGCTGCGGTGGTGGTCGATGTCGTCGGCGTCAGTCTTGCGACTCGCTGAATTTCGAGTGTCGCTTAGCACTGGTGGTGTGGCGCTAGCGTCGCATGCGGGCTAGCGTGGGTGTCTATCGAGCAGTGTCCCTCATGGGCGACCATGACCGTCACGAGTGAAACCTCGCCTTTGCGAAGTGGACAAATTGTCTGTCTCATTTGATACAAGCAAAACATTTTGCACATAGTGGAAGGATTTCCTGCAAACGACGAAACGCGGTAGCCTTGGTCTACCAGCCCGCATTCAGTGAACATACCTGGACAGAGGACTATGATTACTTCTACTGAAGTTGTACTGAGAGTTGAAGTGAACTCATCTTTGGTATTTGCTTCTACCGAATGCTTGCACAGGTTGCTCTATCTGCAAATGCACCAGTTGCGGCCGTTGACTGCCCAAACAAGGGCATACCCACGTATTCAAGATCACCTCAAAAACTTACATATCGCTGTACAACTACCTCAATCCAAGATTCATCCAATCTTTATGTTCTCAAAATCTCGAGGAAGTGTATGTAGTTCAGCCCGACATCACAGTTCATAGATCCAGTTATCCTTCGCTTCCCAGTTCAGAACAGCGTGCCAAAACGAGCAAGGTCTACGACTACCATATCAAACCATCCATTCCAAGATTTGCAATGCACTTTCTGGCTCTCGTCTTTGTTCGGCAATGTTTGTAAAGTCGGCAAAAACAAGGCGCGGGCAAGAGCGTCCAAGTCCGCCATATCTTCCATCTTCCCATACTCAACCATCCCCACCCCGTGGCTCTATGGACACAAAAGAGGATTGCTGCATCGCTGAATGCATCGTCCAGACATCGAGCGAGTTCCACTGTGTCCATGAAGCTGGCGGAGTGTGTGCACATACCCTAATGTCAAATCTTCCCCAAACTCAACCACCACGCTCCCCAAAGCTCTGCCACCACCACAACAACGTGTAGAATGGCAAAAAGAATGCATCGGCCGGGAATCGAACCCGGGGCTAGCCGAAACTGTCCTGTGATGGATGGCAACGGCTAATTTTACCACTAAACCACCGATGCTGGTGATCTGAGCGAAGTTGTCTCGCTTGATGGAAGTTCGAGCAAAATATAACATAATATTACAATCAGCATCGACGTCTAGGCGAGTGGATGGATTGATCGTGTTGTTGAGTTGGGAAAGACGGGGTTGAATTAGACAGCGTTGAACGGAGTGGGGTTTTGCAGATCTAGACCATGCGAACTATCATCTGCCGTGTTCTGTTGACCGAAAGATCTCGGCGAACATGCAGTGTTGCCTGCATACTACACACTCGGCGACTGTACGACTGTACTTGTTGCATTACGGCGTACCGAAATACATCTGTCAGGGGCTGGCAAAGGCGCGAGAAGGCTGGGGCGGGAACCTTACTGCGTGACGGCGAAAAAAGACTATTGCTATAGACCATGAATTACTTTGAGCTTTGCGCTAGTAGTTGACAAGTTTCATTCCATGGTACAGTGGTTGGGTGGCTGCTGTTGCGACATCCCAAGGGTTGTGGTTGTGGGGTTGGGAAGTGCAGCGCGCGGGCAGGCGAACGGCGGGCGTCCTGCCACACCAAAGCTCCCAAGGTCGAAAGGCTCGACATCAACGATGTTGTCTTTTAGCGAGGGGCAGATGAACACAAGGATAGGATATATATGTGATATGTATGAGAAATGATGAGATAGATTCCAAGAGTACGATAATACAATGCCAAACGCCTTTGAGGGTAGCGTATCATAAACCAAAACATGCATCGTGGTATGCACCAATGTCGTTCAATCGTAGGAAATGTGTGTTTCTTCCAGTCTAGACCTGACAATCAAAATCAACGCTCATGCAATAACGCCGCGCTCCCTGCGTAAAAACACCTCATGATAGATCCATCTCCGGAATTCCCGATTGTCCCACGATTGCGACCATGGGTTGCGATGTCGCCCTCCTCGCTAACGCAGCAGTGAATTTGTCGGAGCGCATCAAACAGCGAATGCGACATGTTTCTCTTGGATAGATCCGATATTCGTTGTTTGTTTCGAGGATGAAGTAGATGGTGGCATGCCGTAAGCCCGCACCTGTGCGCCCAAGATTTGTCGGTCGACCCCTCTTTCTACGCTGCGCGTAAGTTTTTCGAGGCCTGTTCTGAGAGGCCCGCCGACAGGCCGTTGTTGGTTTGGCTCCTTAGACTTCGGCGATTTTTGGGGTCTTGTGGCGGGAGCTTCTGGTTGTGTGACAGCCGCTTCTGGTTTTGTGACCAGGGCTTGTGATTCTGTATACGTTGAAGCTTCTGGTTGGGCGTTTTGGGGGCGCTTTTTGGGGTAGGGAGTGAGTGCTCGGCACAACATGTTGGTAACTCGTGTTGGTGATTATCGAGAAATGGAAATGCTGCTATGTTTGAAGTGCAGAATGTTCAAGTGCGCTGATTGTGATGGTGGTTTGTAAATGGCAAGCATGGCATCGCGTCCATGGTGGTTTTATACATTAATGGTCCGATAATATTCATTTTGCTGTACGCGTATTCGTAAACTGTATTCACCGACAATTACAGCACATCTTGCGAGGCATTGCTGCGGTTTCGCGATGTTGGCGCGGAAGGTGGCTGAAGGGATTCGTAACCTCGTACAAACAGCCAATCGGACGCGTGCGCTCGGATATGTCGATCTCCCTCCACCAAAACCGGTGGCGATCTTGGGGCACTGCATCTTGGGCAGCGTTCACTGCTGACTTCAGGTCTCCCGCTGCGGATGGTAATTGAGAAGCCTTGCGTTGGCTTAGTAGACAGAAGACTTGATGCCGCGTTTATCGGTCGTGTACCTACAGATCTCCCCGCCAGCGCATGAAGGTGTCTAGCTACTGGTAGCCGCAGCGTGGACTGAGCAGCAGGCCTACGCGTACCGGATGAGCGTATGGTCATATGATGGGTCTCGAGGGTCTCGAGCACGATCATACTCAGGCCAAGCTCTTGCCAGGTCACCGCTGACGTAGTCCCACTCCGACCTGATCTCCGTTAGTAACGCCCGTCGCAATAGCCAACACACAAACTTACATGAACATCAAGTCCAGCTGCACTTTGACTTTCCGTGCTTGAACCTTGACAACCCTTGAGGCTACGTCCTCGAAGAATGGAGGTAGACAGATTGCTAGTGTCATGTTCTGCAGATGCGGAAAGCGCGATCTTCGCGCCCCCAGGTTGACGAGTTGCGATAGACACTGCGCTTCGTCCGAGTGCATGAGATTCCTCTCGTAGGGATTGAGGTTTCCCGTCGCAACGATGTGGCGTAGATAAAGTGTGCGTAGCGATGTAGGTAGACATGAGGGACCGAGTGCGAGACTCCGTAGTTTCGCTTCTTGCATGGGTTTATGCAAACAGATTGTGTCGAATCTGAGCTTCTCGAGCCGCGAATTCTTGATTATGTCCCTTACATCAACATTCCCGCTCACAGCCTCATCCTCTTCGATTATGAAGCCGTCGTTCGGATGGTTGTATTCAAAAGTGAGTTCGCGAAGAGTTGTCTCGAAACTGTGCTTGAAAGCGCGGATCAGGTGGCGGAAAGCGGTGCCATCCAATACATCGCGTATGCTGCCTTCGTAATTGCTGTGCAATTTTAAACGTCTCAAGTTGAGAAACACTGCCGCAAAGACCTGTATTTCGTCGTCACCAAGCCCCCATTGGAGATCAGTGAAGGAGATATCCAGAGTATCAAGCGTGTTGTTTTCGAATTCCCAGTCGTCGAAATGTTCGTCGGGAATCTCGTCAGCGGTAACACCCGAGAGGCGTAATGTCTTCAGGGTTTGCAACTTCAAAACTGGTATGATCTCGGATAGCGTGCCAGACTCAATGTTCAAATCCAACTCTCGCAGGTTAGGTACATTCAAGATGAAGTTCCGTATCCGATTACCAAGGTAATCATACCGCATCGCGTAGACGGCCCGAACGTATAGTAACAAATCAGGTCGGTTTTGAAAGGTCTGCAATAAGTCGTCTCCGTTATCTCTTGAGAGGATCAAAGAACGATAGATATACGGCTCTGTGATGCGACAAAACTTGCGTGAAACCAGCGATAGGTTGATGAGATCGTCATAGTTTGATGTATGCCTGTTCGGCAGGGGATTGATGACTTCGGACACTACATGATCGAGTAGTTCTTCTGAAAGGCGCTCCATGACGAAAAGGGTGCGCAGGCAAAACAGATGTGACGGGTGGCGTTGTGCTTCAGCGATGCCTCAAATGTGTCGGCCGTCAATGAAGAGGCAAAGGGCGGCCACCGCCGCCGCGCTGCAGCTGGCTGATTCAGCACGCCTAGCGCTCAGCCCTATCGAGACAGCCCTGGAGGACCAACAGCGGACCACGTGCCGACTCACTTCAACTGACGGGAAATTTCCCTCCACCCGTTTTTGTGCCAGTCCAATTCTCACAACTCCACCCAGACAGCTACAATATCTACCCGATTGCTTACCCATATGCGACAGCTGCCGCACAATGGCGATCGTCAACGAGCGCGACTTCCCTCCACTTCCATCACCAAATGCAACGCGTCGACGCGCCGCTGAGCGTGTAGTCGAAACCGATGCCGCAGAACCACCTACAACCAAACCGCTTCCGACATTGAGTGATCTCCCCACTGAGCTTATCTTGCAGATAATCAACTACTTTCCCGGCATGGACATTGAAGACTTCCAGCTTCCTACGCTCCTCAGTCTGGCATTGACTAGTCGGCGTTTCTATAACGTTGTCATCGACAAGATCTACTCTAAATACGATAGCCATTTCTGCGAGCCCTACGCGTTCCTTCGTACCATGATAGAGGCTCCGCGGCTCGCAAAATATGTCCACAATGTGGAGATCGAACTCGGCACGTACAGTAGCCAGCGCTACCATGCGACAGCGAGCGACAAGAAATCCATCAAGGAGGGATTGCGTGCGCTTGGTACATCCGACTGGAAAGAGTGGGCAGCTAGGTGCAACGGAACTCACCTCAATGACTACGCGCCACAGAAGCACGCGCTACAGAACGCGATATTGTTGCATGCACCAAAGATTAAACATCTCGGCGTTCGAGGAATCGCAAAGGAGAACTTGCGATATCCTTCCTGGATCGATCTCATTAGCAGGGCCGCGACAGGTCATCTCTCTCCACAAGCCCACCGCTTCGAAAAGCTACAATCGATCAGCGTCGAGGCAGGTTCGTTAGGTTTGAGCGAGCTCGCACCTCTTTTCCGGCTACAATCGTTGCGAAAGCTGCATTTGTGCCAAACTTACCTTTATGGATATCGCCAAGATGACGCAGAAGGCGCACACAAATTACAACGTCTGATCCCAAAAGCGTGCAACGATCTAGAGGAGCTCGATCTGGAGAGCACTTATTACACTCCGCCGTTGCTGGAAGTATTGGTCTCCTCGTCGCGGTGCTTGAAGAGCATCAAGTACGAGACCGAGTCTGAACTTCACCTGGCAGAGCGGCCACCGGAAAACGGACAGCGGTACAAAACGCTGTCTGAAGTCTTACTCTGCCAGAAGGCATCACTTGAGACTCTTTGGGTTTGTTGCGATCCAATCACCGAGGATGATACAAAGCGCAGCGTCCATCTCCGTGACAACCTCAAAGACTTTGCTTCGCTAAAACATCTCAGCTGTCCACTAGGCATGCTCTTGAACCACGATGACGACAACTTTGTGGAGCGATTGCCATCCTCACTGCTGACGTTTCGAACGCCAGTCCGGAATCACACCGAGGACCAACAGTGCTTGGAGGCCCTGAGAGACGTGGTAACCTCTTATCGGGAACATGTACCTGATTTGGAAGAGGTTCGGGTTGTTGCTCCAGAGGCTGCAACATGGTTCACATATGATTGGGAGCCTCTTGTGAAGCTCTTCTCGGCTGAAACAGGCATCAGCTTCGTGGTAGAACCTGGAGACACTGATGACGATGCCTTCGAGGACTGGGATGGTAATGAGACAGACTCGTCGCAATCCTCAGATGAGGTTGATCTGTATAGCGACGAGGAATGATGCACTAGTATTGCTCACGATATCACGTTGGCGGCCTTTTCTGAGAGTCATTCTTGCTTGTCTACATGGACAGCTGCAGATTCAGAGGGTCCATAATTATACGAATGCCTTAAAAAATGCAACGCATTGCACAACCAATTTTTCAGCGGGTTCCAAATTGCGATGGCCGATGCCGGTCGGTACCAAGATGTGTCCTCACCCAAGGCAGCAGCTTTGCGCAGGCCAGGCCTCAAGCTCAAACTTCGCAACGTCGCCGCTAACAGAACGACATAAAACAATGCGAGTGTAGACTCTTCCCGCAATACCTACAGCAATCGTTCACTCTCTTCCTCATCCTATCGCAACGAAAGATGTCTTCCACCGAAGGCGACCCCAAGCCGCCAGTCAAATCCGCGCACGCAGCACCAGAAGGAGAAGAGCTGAAGCACTGGAAGACTTCAGTCCTCGCCATGATCGACAAGCGTATCGACCTCTACCCACGACCGCTTCCATACAACCGAAGAGTAAGGGCCACTCGCGCGGTGGTATTACTACTCGGCAGGATCAGGCAACTCTGGAGGAACCTGCTTCGTATCTGGCGTAGCAAATTTGCGTTGGCATCTTGGTTCGTGGATGTAGGACAAGACCAGCGCCCAATATTCCTGGATTCAGATCGCATCGTCACTGCAATCGAGAAGGCGGGCCATGTCCCTGAACTCGTTGAGAACATCATTCGCTTCGCCGATGCAGAGACCCAGATGCACACTGCCTGGAACGTTTCAACTCTCTGGAGACATACCGTCGCGCATATTGTGACCACTCCAAACTCATTTCGTCCATCACTTCCATACGAAGTTGTGGAGCGTGGCAGTACGCAGAATCTGGATGCGATCAGTGGTCTTCCCGAGCCTAGTGACGAGGATTTCCAGAAATTTGAGCAAGAGATGCTGCTCTTACGTGAGTTCCAGGCATCAAGAGACGCTGAGGTCGCCGCACGAGATTACTCATGGTCCGGGATATATCGACCTTACTGGCCGGCTCGCATTTACGCGTCGAAGGCTCTACCTGATCATCTCAAGACCTTATACCATTCGGTCAGCATTCGCTCTTCGTTGGACTCAAATACAAATGGGTGGCGCGACTTCACACAGTTCAAGATGAACCCTTACTTCCAAACTGTGTTCGTACGGCAGTTAACGGAGTCGGTCGGAGTGTATGAGTTCAAATTTCAGCCATTGGACCGAATCGAGAACCTCGTCTTTGGAACCACCCCTTACCTAGGAGCCTTTCGTGGACTAGTTGGCCCTATGCAGTTGACACAGCCGCCCTGCAAAGCGATAGAGCTGCGTATCCAAGTACCATTTCAGCATCCGGATACTACTAGGGATTTCGGATTTCTATTATCTACCTATGATTCGATGAACACTATTGTACACGTACTGAACTCAAGCGGCATAACGTGCGAACAGCTATTCGAAGCGCTCGAGGAATGTGCCGAGCCGGTGCTGTGGCATTGGCGAAGCTGCGCGGATCAGTTCCGAGAGAACGTCCTCGGTTTAGAACACTACACGAATGGCATATGGACTTTGCGCGGAAGACCAACGATATACATTGTATTGAGCGACATTCGCCCTCGCCCGTTGAACGTATCTTCCAGTACCATCGACGTGCCTTCTATTATCGACCGCCAGCTGGAATGGATCCCGAAGGAGTTGGTTCGGACGATAGAGCACGTGGAAATTCGTGATGGAAGGCTTCGGCGATATCCCGCTGATCTAGAGAGTTGACGTCATCATCGTCTTGTCTCCATTCTCGGTGTAACGACTTGCGACTGTTGTGCATCTACACGAGGCGGACTGAAATGAGGAAGCCTCACATGAAGACCCTCGAGATGTTCCGTACGACGCGATAACGCACTACCTGGGCAGCTTTGCGACATCGGTAGCAGATCATCCCAGGTTGTTCCCAGCCCCCGCCTCGGTGGCCGAGACGACATGGAATTATTCCGCCGCCTACTCGCCTACTGGAGAAGCTGTTACATCTAGCAATACATTATGCGACAATTCATGTCAATGTTTTCGACCCCTCCATGCATCGGTTTCGCCCGTCTACTCGCCTCTGACCCGTGCCGTCCCCACAAGCCGCCCACTCGCCCCTGACCCGCGCTTCTGAAGTGCCGATATTGCCATGCGCGCGCACGCTCAGGGTCTGAGACAGAAAAGGTCGGTATGCGAAGTGGATACTACGTAGATAGCTTCTCCAATCCATCTCGGTACTTCTACGGCGCGTTTCGTCGTTCCTTTACATCGTTCTTATCATCATAAAGTAACAACAGACTCATCAACAGCGATTGGCAGTACGAAAGTCAAAAGCAAAAATGTCTAACCCCTCAGTTGTTAAGCCCGATCCGTCCTACGTCGTACCCCTCCTCATTAACGGCAAGGAGGTCACCACCAAAACCACCTTTCCCGTAACATCACCCTCATCGCACAAGGAAGTATGGAGCTCTTCGTCCGCCTCGCTGGAAGAGGTCAAGAGTGCCGTTGCAGCGGCAAAGGGCGCATTCCCCGCTTGGTCCAAGATGAAGCATTCCGCTAAGCGCAACATCTTCCTCAAGGCCGCCGACGTGATCGATGCGCGCGCGGAAGAATTCGCAGACTACATGAAGATTGAAACCGGTGCTGCGGATAACTTCAGCAATGGCTTCAACGTGCCCAAGATGGCGGATATGCTGAGAGATGTGGCCGGCAGGCTGAGCGCCGTCATGGGACACATTCCCAGCTGTGAAGAGGAGGGCACCAGTGCGTTGGTCGTCAAGGAGCCTTATGGCGTTGTGTTGGGTATTGCGCCTTGGTAAGGATTTTCCTGTTAATACATGTACGCATGCAACAAAACTGACGAGAGCACCAGGAACGCCCCATATGTGCTTGGCATGCGATCGATTCTGTACCCTCTAGCTGCGGGTAACACCGCCATCCTGAAGGGTAGCGAATTCTGTCCTCGTACATGGTGGGCCATTGGCAGCGCCCTGACCGAGGCTGGTCTTCCCGCTGGTGCGCTTAATGTCCTCGTCCACCGTCCCGAGGACGCGGCGCAAGTCACCACGGCCTTGATCGAGGAGCCCGCAATCAAGAAGATCAACTTCACCGGTTCCACCGCTGTTGGTCGCATCATCGCATCGACAGCTGGCAAGAACCTCAAGCCCGTTCTGCTCGAACTAGGTGGTAAAGCGAGCGCCATCGTCCTCGACGATGCGAACTTGCAGACCGCAGCAGTACAATGTGCGCTTGGTGCTTTCCTACATGCAGGCCAGATCTGTATGAGCTCAGAACGCATTCTCGTGCACAAGAACATCAAGCCGCAATTTATCGAAGCTTTCAAGGGCGCCGTCGAGGGTATCTTTGGCGGCGACAAGCCTGCTCCCATTCTCGTAGCTGCACCCGGTGTAGAGAAGAACAAGACTCTCGTTGCCAATGCGGTCAAGAACGGCGCGAAAGTCGTACACGGCGACCACGAGAAAGATGAGAAGCACCCTGAGACGAACGAGGCTTCGGCCACACGTCTGCGACCCATCATTGTTGACGGCGTAACCAAGGACATGGACCTTTTCCACACGGAGTCTTTCGGTCCTTCGGTCTCCGTCATCGAGATCTCCAGCGATGAGGAAGCTATTGAGATCGCCAACGACACCGACTATGGTCTTTCGGGCGCTGTGTTCACAGAGAACCTTGGTCGCGGTCTACGCGTTGCAAAGCAAATAGAAAGCGGGTAAGTTCTTCCAAATATCGGATGATGTGGCGTTTGTCATTACTAACAACTGTATACAGAGCTATCCATATCAACTCCATGACAGTGCACGACGAGTGGACCTTGCCGCATGGTGGTGCGAAAGCAAGTGGTTTTGGCAGATTCAACGGACACTGGGGTATCGAGGAGTTCCTGAGGATGAAGACTATCACTTACAAGGAGTAAAGTTGATCGTGTGTAGCTTAAGCAATACATTCCTACTTCCTCGCTCGGCAAACAGCGATACTCTAAAGTTGGTAATAATGGAGTACGTGGTACGACTTCAAACCCCGAGCCCGGTTTGATTTCCCCTAATTCAGCCAATCACATAGCCTGCGGCTCCGATTTGGATATGCTTGGGATTCTTTCCTTACCTGTCTTTGCCCGCCACATTCGTTCGTCGTGCGCCCTCTAGTATCGGTTTAGGGGATGTATCTCCATGTACGTTCAAGCCACAGGTAGCGGTGACGCAAGGTCCAGTGCGGAAGGGTATATCTAGCAACGACCACCATGATGTACAGCGAATTCATCCCCGAAATGGAGAACACAGCCTCCAGCTTGCAACGGGTGGCTTCTCTGAAGAAGTACTCATTCCCCGCACGACGCCATTCTTACTGAGAATGGCGGAGTACACATTACCATATTCGATGTCAAACACATCGTGGGCGGCAGGATGGAGTTGCTTATAATCCTGCGGGCATAACCCCGATTCCATCCCTTCGTTGACACCGCAATCCAATCTACACGAAGTCGCAAAGAACCTTCAATACAAAACGCGATCATGCACACTCCATCCCTCCTCCTCGCCGTCCTTCCCCTCCTCTCTCTCACAACCCCTACCATCGCAGCCTTGCCCTCCCTCTCTCTCACCAACATCCAATTCTCCTCTTACATCCTATACGTCTCACCATCGGCCCAGGGGCCCCGACAAGGCGTCATCGGCTTCACCATGACCAACAGCGCCATCGAAGTGCCCATCGCCTGCAGCGCCATATCTTACAATGCCTACGCCCTCTTCTCTCCCACCGTAACCTACGAATGCAACTTCGCGCCTGCGGGAGGCGAAGAAGGGAGGGAGGACCCTTGGTGCTACACCAACAGTGCGACGTTCAATCTCGACACGACGAAACTGGATGAGAAGAATGCGACGATTTATGATTTGTCGGTGCAAATGAGTTGGACGTGTCAAGAGTACGTCTTTGATCTTCCTGTCCTGTGGTGATACTTGCAGCTGACGATTACTACAGCGAGGGTGTATACGGCCTTTCTGCCCAGACTGTCCTGGACCTAGACTGTAGCGTGTGGGCGTGTGAGAACCACATGTGGCCCAAGTACGATATCTACTCCAATACTAGTACGTACTGCGCGCCGTACAATGTTAGTTTTGGGAATGGGGATGTCGAGGTGCTGAAGCTAGAGTAAGAATGGGGAGCTGAGGTCGTGTGGTCGTCGGGCCGATGTAGAAGTAGTCGTGTTGTAATGGATGAATACTGCTGTATTCTAGGTCTTGTCGGCGTTCTGAATAGCCTTCTTGGTGTTGTAAATGAATTGGACACTGCAGCATTCTAGATCTGGCCGTTGTTTTGAGTAGTCCTTTGTAAGATGTACTGCGCTGATCTTTTGCGGCTGAACTTTGCAGAGGCTTGATGCATGTGTAGTCTGATGGTCTAGGTTTCTTTTAGTCTACCAGCGAATGATCTGGATCACGGTAAACTGTCCTGTGGCTTCGGTTAGTCTTCGATGTGGCTGGCTGTCTTACCAGTCACGTCTACACGATAGGCGCAGGGTAGCCTTGATCTAAGTTGTTCACCCCGCATTATGCAGATTCTGGCGTTTCTTGTTTGTCTCTGTTCAATCATTGGAGAGTGCCTTATCAAAAGAAAGTCATCTGCATTTCCTCGATGCAGCGACTCCTGATGGAAAGGAGAACGAGGCTAACTCGTCAATAAATTGAGGCTCTGGCGATCCATCATGACGAACTCAATCGTCATTATTCAATGACCCTTTAGCCCAGGGAACTGGAGACTGCGTAATGTCTACCAGCCGATCAAGCGGGTGTAGACGCCGACCTAGAAGATGCGCTATCAATTCTCCGGTAGCTTGCTCTTGGTACTCGATCGGATGCGAACACCCTGTGCCACGCTGGTGCTCTTTGAATTTCTCGTGGGATCCAACTAAACTCGTACAGGTCACGATCGCCCCACCCGTCACATCCATCACGTCGTAGAGCTACATTGGCGCGCGAGCTACCCTTTGTTAGCCCGGCCTAGCATAGATCGTGGGATGGGACAATAGAATTGTGATTGGCTTTGTCCGGCCTTGTTGGTAGCTAAAACCCAAGACTGTGGAACCAAAGACCGTTCACGGGGCGGATTTTATTGTACACCAGTCGTGCGGACTGCTCTGATTGTGCGATCGTGATATCTATGAAACGTAGGCTTGTAGGCATTTTTCGGCATTGAGGAGCCGATACGATCGTCGTGCTTGCAGGTCAGCAAAGGATCTTTTTGTGGCGAAGCGTACACGCGTGCGAAGAGCTCGCAACACGACAGTCGCTCTCGCAAAATCTGGAGTACGAGAATATTCATGGGAAATTGGAAAATCTAGGGGAGTCCCCCAGTCTGGATACAGCCGGCGATAAAGTTCGATTCGCGCATCGACCCAGAGATTGAAGCTGCACTATTTCGGGCGCTTCCCAGCAGAGGCCGTGCGCTTCCCGCGTCAAAGTGACGCTTGCCATTGCCGGACCACCAACAGAACTCCTTTCCAGCCATCTCCAGGCTGATCACACGCCACGACTTTTTCTCAAGCTTGCCAGCCCACACCATGCAGGAGTTCTGAAGTTCCGTGCTGGCGGAGTGGATCTGGGTGTGCTGGGGATGCCCGCTTGTCCGCATGCAGTTGGAATGCGCATGCTAAATAAAGCCAGACTCAGCCCGCGCGAGGGGTGCGGCTGAGTACCACCACCGTATTTGTCTTGCACGGTACACTTTCCCTTCCCCACTCCGTTGTTTGGTAAGAGGTTGGTCGGCCATTACTTTCGTTTATACTCTCGTTCGCCGTTAGACCTACTTTGGAGATTCACGTTTCGCACCCAGGACTTAATCAGAAGATTCGCATAGAGGGGTAATAGTAAGATGATGGCACTCGAATCACCACAGCCACTTTCGAGGAAGAAGTCGATATTCCGACGTTTCTCCAGACGAGAACGCGGCGATGCTCCTCCGTCGCCATTCCTCATGAGCGAGGGCCTACGATCACCGCATCTACAATCGTCAAATTTACAGTCGCCGAGAAGGCTACAACGCCGCCCATCACACCGACCGTTGAGCCTTCTTACACCGCCAGCGTCACCTACAGAGAAGAGTCCTATCGTAACTATCGATGCTTCGAAACCTCAACAACCCAAGATGGTCACACACATCCAGCGCATCGACTTGCCAATATATCAACGCAACCGGAGCGAATTCACACCTCCACCCTCTCCAGAACCGCGGCGACGCATCCTTCCCAGCGCGCTACCTACCATGCCATTCCCCGGCAAGCCTCTCATAACGTCGTGGAATGTCTTCCTTCCACCATCACAAATATACTCGTTATATCTTGGGTATGCACCACGGGACATGGACGACAAGTGGTACATCTACAGCGAGGGTCCCGATCAGGCTGGAAAGCTAAAGGTGCACTTCCATCGGAGTTGGACTGGCATGAAGGTCGCAGAACTGTTTGTGGTAATGGATACAAAAGGCGAGGGTGCCGGAAAGATTGTTGGCATCAAGTGGAATGGAGGTGAAGAGATGAACTGGATGAGCGAAGAAGAGGCCAAATACATGATACGGACGGCTTGCAGGTGGCAATTAGCCGTGGATTTGGAGAAATGAAGCCACGCGACGGCCAGGCCGAGAGCCTGTTTCTGTTCGGCGGCAAGATGTTTCCTCTTTCCTTTTCTTGACGCGCATTAGCCCGCGGCTTTCCTTCGATCCGTACCGTTTGGCGTCCCATGAAACGACGTTCCAAGCATTCTAATGATATCTCTATACCCGTTGAGGGTATACAAACCTCTAATATCAAGCTTCTCTTTTCAAGTACCGCATTGGCGCGCGCCTCGTTCCCGTGATCGGTAGTCGTAGCGTGAGATGTTAACATACCATCGATCTGATAGGTTCCCCCACTGAGGGACTCTCAGCATCCGACCAAAAGTAAAACATGTGGATTCAACAATCCGATACCTTCTCTCTGAGGTCAAGCGTGTATACCGGTGGAGGTATCGTGGTGTTGGTGGTATGACTTCTTGCAGCAGCCTCGCGCAGGCTAATCAGGCCACCCTGCCATCGCGCCCTCCGGTTCCTATGGAGGCATACCCAGATCGTGTGATTGGATCGTGAATGCAACCAACATGTGGCACATGAAGCACATTTTTCTTTTATCGCATTCTCGACTTTATCCTCTTCGCCTTCATTGCAAATGCCAGTGGCATGGTCCTTACAAAGTCTCAACATAACAATGACGGTGATGTGCCGTGTAACTAGGCTCGTGGGGTCCAGGAGCCGCCAACTGCACGCTTCCGAACATCTTTCGCGTCTTCCCTTCTTCGGTGCTACTGTTCCTCACCCACAATCTCTCCCCACACAATCCATGGCAGCGAGTGTACTACCGACAGAATTGAACCGTTCGGTCCGAAATGCAGTCCAACTTCACACCTTCCTCCAAATCTTCTTCTCCCCAGCCGCAGCGCCTGCCTGTTAATCCAAGACGGCACAAGGTCGACCCATCGTTACGAAAGCGCGTCGTAAGAGCGTGAGTAAATTCCCAGCCTCACGTTTCGCATTGGTACTGGTTGTGGTTTCTTGGTACTACGGTGCCGATGGATGTCGCCCAGACAATGAGCAAGCGCACACGTCAGCAGGGCTCATCGGCAGCATCAAGAACACGCGCATCGCTCAAGTCATGCACCGTGCAAGCACCCATCTAAAGCTCATCACTGACGTATGGCGCGTAGATGCAACGCGTGCAACGTTCGTCGAGTTCGGTGCTCGGGGGAGCAGCCGTGCCAACGATGCAGCAAAACCTCACGCGAATGCGAGTACCCAGCACCGGAATCAGATAAGCACTCTCTCAAAGACGAGCTCGAACGCTTGCGAGCGCGTTGTGCAGCACTCGAGACAGGGTTCAAAATCGCTGCACCTGAAGAGGCCGCCGAGATCATTGGACAGCTCGACCATGGCGGGCCAGGAACGCGTTCGACCGCGCCGACTTTTCTTTCCGTCTCAATGGAGCTGGATCAAGCCGACACGAACGATGGCCGCCTGCTTGTCGACCCTTGTGGCACCCCGAGATTCTTCGGTGAAACGTCTGGAGCGACGTTCCTGGATTACCTAAAGCAATTCATGCTTACGCTGGTTCCTCTGACTTTCCAGCCCGAGTCGGCGGATGGGTCTTCATTTGTTGCATCAATTGGACGTTATCAGACATACGACTCGCGACCAATCCCCAATCCAAGCGTGGATCCGCTATGGCTTCCGGATCAGGACGACATGGCATTGATGCTTGCACAACTGCGAGCCTACATCCAGGATGGCAATGGCGAGTTTCTGTCTGGCGGAATATACTGTAAGCTATGCGTGGACGATTGACCGTGCTTTCACTAATCTTCACCCAGGGTGGGGCGATCTGACCCAGTTCCCCACGTCTGCGGCTCCTTCTGTCTTGCTGAGTGCAATGACGACAGACGACACTCACCGAGGCTTAGCCTTCTATCATGTCTGCTTCGCCCTAGCTACGTCTTTCGGTCATCAGTCTTCCAGGCGCTCAGACCAGCATGCGGGAGAGGCTTACTTCAAGCGTGCGCGAAAGCTCCTCGGGAATCCATTAGATACCGTGCGGTTCACCCTGGACGATGTCCCTGTATTGACTCTTATGGGGTTTTATCTCATCGAGCTGAACCGCAGAGATGCAGCATACGTATATGTAAGAGATCACGAAGCACTGCATACAAGACACGCACTAAAAACCTCCAGGTCAGTTTAGCGATTCACATTGCCATTATACATGGCGCATTCAGGTCTTGCAATGATGAAGCGAGCAAACGCACATTCTGGACTCTTTACATATTGGACAGATGGCTTTCCGTGTTGATGGGGCGCCCACCAACCCTACTTGATGAAGCTATCAGGCTCCCTCTGCCATGCGATGTGCCGTAAGTCTCTGTCACGTTCAAAGCGGAGAACAATGCTAAACTCCTCAGCTCAATGCCGCCATGTGCGGGTCTTCGAGCACACGTAGAGTTGTCACGCATCTCTGGCTATATCGTCTGCGAAACATTCAAGATCGCTCCACGACACTACCAACGTGGCTACTCGACCATGAATGTGGACAAGGCTCTGGACCAACTCGAAAATTGGAAACTCAACCTACCGCCGGTGCTAGCTATTGACGTTGACGCTGACCCCGCGGTACTGTCCCTCCATCTAGCTTACAACCAACTCATCGTCCTCACGACTCGGCCCATCCTCCTGGCCGCTGTCAAGCAAGCCGTGGCTGAACGCTATATGAATGGCTCGTGGTCTGTGCAGCAACATGCACACAGCAAATATGTTCAGGCCTGTCCAGAGGCCGCCCAGCGAAATTTGCTTTTAGCCAAGCGATTACGATCTACAAGGAAGCTGCTGCAAGCCGGTCTACACTTCGTGTTCAACGCAGCTGTTATCTTGATACTAGATCAGATTCTCCACTCTTCCAGCACTGCACCCACGGCTACCGCGCTTAACACTCCCGTGTACACCCTGGAGATAGACTTTGCGATGCGCACCTTCGAGGAGGAGTCACGAACCGGTACTAACTACCCCAGAGACTGTTACAAAGTCTTGCAAGATCTCAAAGCTCTCGTTGACCGCTACCTCTCCCATGGTCATGGCCACTTCGAGCAAAGCAACGACCCCGGTCTCGTCATCAACACTCCCGGGACGCAGTACAATGCGCAACGAGGCGCAGAACTTCAAGGAAACCCATTGAACACCACAGCTGGCACTGTGTACCAAGAGCTACGAACCTGGATGCAGAGTGACGGATTGAAGCTACATAACAGCTTACTCATTTGAAACAGACTTCATCCACCGGGAATGCTACCCGGACGAGTCATTAATCAGAAACCTTATTCTCCCCGCGGCGCCCTCTTATGCCCGCGGACTGTACAACCAATCACGCCACTGCAGTGACACTGATGAGGAAACGCCCGAAGGCAAGTAGCTCTTACCACCTTGCTGGCTGCTGGGCCACCAAGGGCCGGTCGACGCTATAACCGATAAACGAGACAAGAACTTGGTAACGGCACGTGTAGTGCATAAAGTTCCTGCTTCGAGCTGCCGCGCGGCGAGGGCATAGGGAAGATCATTTCGAGAAGTTTCCATTACTCCGTATTATCGCGACGGCCATTCGATGACAGTAGACGATGTCATCATATCCAATTCAGCTTTGCCTCCACGAAAGCCCTTTTACCACTCTTGTCGAGATAAGCAACCATATGCAAAAACAGCGTTTGGCTCTCGCTCCGAGGTGTCATAGTCGAAACCCACCCGGCGAGCAGGGGTCGCACCTTGCGCGGTGGGCTCCGATTGGCCAAGCTTAGCCCGGCACGCTTCGATCTAGAGGCTCCTGCAGGCCAAGCTGTATAACCACCCTTTGATCGGACAAATTCAATGGGGTGAAAAGAAGCGGTAACATATCGACAATGGGTCACGGGAGGCCAAAGACTAGGGTCCTAGGAGCTGAAGAGCCTCACCAAAGCAATTACGTACATGTGAATGAGGAAAATGGTCAAGGGCGTTCTTTTACCTAGGGCAAGCTTGGCCACTTGATCGCGCGGAACTTGCCTTTACTATGGTTTCTACTACTAGAGAAGAAGAAGATCCTCTTATTTCCACTTGTGTTCGCAGCAGCAGCAGCAGCAGCAAATCCGCAGTCATGAGTTCCACGGTCAACTTGGGAAACCAAGCTCCAACAATGGCAGACGAGGAAGCCCCTGGTCCAGAGGAGCGTTGCATGTCCAGTCGCGTGAACCGAAAAATGGACATTGCACTTTTACCTTGCTTGTCCCTGTTGTACCTGTTCAATGGATTAGATCGATCGAATGTTGGGAATGCGGAGACGCAAGGTATGTTTTAGATCGATCAGCATCAACCCCATTATGCTGATCATACCCTACGAACACCCAAAGGAACGGTTCTCTCCTAACGTCTTACAATGCAGGGTTCACAAAAGACATCGGCGCAACTCCGGACGATCTCAACTTAGCAGTCTCGCTCTTCTTCGTCACTTTCGTGTTACTCCAGCCTCCGTCGGCGGCGGTGGGGAGATGGCTCGGCGCAAAGCATTGGATTGCTATCATAATGGCAAGACCTACAATATCGTTATTTTCAACCTGCCATTTCTGATACGAAAAGATAGATCGGATGGGGCATCTTCACCCTAGCCCACGCCTTCATCCGCGGCCCCGGCCGCCTCATCGCCGTCCGCCTGATGATCGGAGCCTTCGAAGCAGGCTTCTACCCTACAGCCATCGCGTACCTCTCCACCTTCTACGGGCGCTACGACATGGGCGTCAGGATTGGTCTTTTTTACGGCCAATACGCTATTGCCGGCGCGTTTTCGGGGTCTATTGGTATGTTACCTTACCTTTGTTCAGTAACCCCGTACTGTATGTCATGTATGTGCTAATACGGACCAAGCATTCGGTATCTTCCACCTCAACAACACACGTCTGCATAATTGGCAGTATCTCTTCATCATCGAAGGCAGTCTGACCATCCTCATCGCCATACTCGCGTGGTTCTGGTTACCAGCCGGACCAGGTACCGCATGGTTTCTCAGCCACGAAGAACAAGTC